ATTGAAAACTATAGGCAACGTAGAGTACAGAGCTGGGGTAATATTAGAATTCCATATTTTTTATGCAACTGCTCTTTCAACCGTTGAATTTTTCTTTTTCAATAGAAGTTTCTATGTGGATTTTTTTTTAGTGGTACTCTAAAACTGTTTGAAAGAAGCTTGTGAAATAGCATTTTCTTTTTATTTTAATCTTCTCTAATACATCAACACAAAACTCTGTAGGGATTTGTGCTGCATTTTCTTACAAGCTATTCAATTTCAAATATGACAAAAATTGGCATTTAATTCTCTTTTCTTGAAAAGAGACATTTCCTGGCTATATAGCATCATCTACACATTTGCTGTGGTCTGGAATTCTAGCGATTTTGTGTGTGTGTGTCTGTGTGTGTGTGTTGCAGCTGGAGTCATTAAGAACACGAATTTAATTATGTTACATGTTCCATAGTTAAATGTTGCTGCTGTACGGAGCTAGCAGTTGCAGCCCAAATGGTTTTGTTGTTGTTAATGGTATTAGAATAATGGCCATCGTATTCGTGTGTCTTCTGCTATTCGGTGATAATATAGGAATTAAAATAAAATCAAACAAATGCAATTCAGCAAATTTAAGTAAAATTCTGAGCTTTCATTTGCTTCCAGATTAAAAACTACTGATAACAGTAGGAATCTAAGTCTTTATATTATTCAGGAGAGAGATGGAAGGAATCTAATTTGTGGCTAAGGACTACTTTGAAATCATTGAATTTAGCTGTTTGCTGGAGTTGTGCATACTGTTGACGGATTATGGTTTCATTTTAACACAATTATGGGAAGGGAATGCCAGAGAATAAGCCTGTGTTCTTTATGGAAGACTGTTAACTGTATAGAACATTTTCATGTACATCTATGTCTATATATTTGCACATATGTATACACTCACACACAATTGCACACATGTGTTGCCAGTATTCAGTAAATAATTAAGAAATAATGGTTATTTAAATGTAGATAATATGCATATATTTCTCTTTCTCCAGTTCAAATCAACAGGCTTCTAAATATACAGATATATAGACAGATATGTTGCCTTTCTTTGTGATCTCTCCTAATGTAGGTGATCTGCAGTCAACTTCTAAGACACTTTTGACAAGCTGTAATTCTCAATAATCATTTTCCTCCACTTCTGTTTGGAATACCAAATACCTCTTTTGATCTTTCTTAGCTGCCAGATGAGAACTTCTTAGTACAGCTATAAAGGTAGCTGGAGAGCCTTGGCCATAGCCATGAGCCAGGGACAGTGTAATGACAGTTAAATTCTCCCACTGTTAGACCCCTCTTTTTGGACATGAAGTGACTTAAGGCTTGTGCACTAAGCGAGACTCAAAGTAAAGCTAACCCACCAGTCTTGGAGAACTGCTGAAAGTACAGTACAGTTCTGCTTTCCTAATGCTCCCTCGAGACTGTAGTGAATTGTTGACTTGAGCTGATTGTATACCGATAGTTCTCATGGGATGGAAACCAAAAGCTTTAGAGATCTAGTGAAATGGCTGTATAAATAAGACACATCACTGAGAGATTGACTATTAAATCCTGTATTAATCTGGTCTGAGCAGGAAGTTTCCAGAAGGTTGAGCATGCTCTATGTGAAACTAGGAGGTCATACAACTAATAATGTGCTGTGTGATTTCTGAAAACTGAGTGCCTTCCCAAAATTAAGTGGAGTCAAAAGGTATACTGTGTGACAGATGGAGCAATTGCATATAAAATGCAAAGAAATGGCATCAGCTTAAGCAGTAGTTGATGATTTTTTGCTCCCATTAGAGGCTTCAGAATGGATACTTAAAATGCAAGCACTGGTTAAACTGTGTGCATGGGACCTGACTACATTACATGTATATAATACACACTACCTGAATGGAGGAAGATTAATACATCTGGGAAGACTTGCAACCCCAGAAAATTTGTTTCTGAATGAGATTTTTGTTCGTTATCAAAGGAAATGTGAGCCAGAGGATGTGCTTATAGTGAGGTGACTTCTTCATTTGTGATAGATGTATGCATGACATTGAGAATGAATCTGGGAATACAAAGTGACTTTACATCCATAGGTAAATGAAATCAAGTCTTTTTTAAAAGTTTATTAGCACATGGGTCAGTGTTTCAGAATGAAAAACTTTTAAAGAGAGATGCTTACTGAATTAAAGTTTACAACCTTATTGCACGAATAGCTTCTTAGGGAGGAAAAAATGTAGCCCATATGAAACTCTGCTTTATTATGGCTACATTGATTGGCACTAGTTTGGAACTGGCTCGTATGTGTCTATGTTATTCTGTATCTGTACTATAGCCTGAAAAAAAAAAGAAACATTTTCTGGCAAGCAAAAATCCTTTACAAAAGAGGCTTGGGACAGTTCAGTAAGGGATCACACCGTGCCTTTTTCACTCAGCAATTAGTGGAATTGTAGGACAAATGAGAAGAAGTCACCTGGTGTTTAATATATACGTTATGAAGTCACATCTTTTTCTAGTTGTCATTAACAGTGAGGCCTCTTAGAACTTTCTAAAACATTCCTTGACCGTTTGGAAAATAATATCCTATCGTGTTAACATTTTGAAATATTCTTCTCTGGTACTTTTCACTGGCATGAAAAGTGAAACACAAACCTTGCAAACCAAGAACTCCAGTCAAACCGTAGGTTGGGCAATAGAGATACTTTTGGAATTCAGTCTTTAATGCACTAGATCAACCCTGCTGTCTGCCCTGCTCTCTGCCCTACTGCCAGTTCCAGGATTCCTGTTCAGATTTACCATCTGTGTTTCATGCGAGATGAATGAGAATGAGTAAACACTTCTTAGACTGCAGAAGGGCCAATCCTATAATGGAGTGATAATGTTTGCTTAGTGTATGGGAATCCAATATTTTTTTTTTAATCAAAGAATTAGAAGACTACCTTACTGGGGAAACTAAGATCAAAATGTCTTCTGTTATGTGCTTTCAAACTTGTGTCTAGGTGGATTTCTTTTCTATGAATAATTATTTCTCATCAATTTTTTACGTGAATCAAAAATAGTTTAAGGGCAATTTATGGGTGGAGTACTTGGTTTATCTAAATACAAAATTAATTTTCTTTGAGTAGCACTTGAGAAAGGATTCTGCCTTCATTGGGCTAAAACTAATTTGGAAAAATGTTTTAAAAAACAGACAAAACTGGTATGGTGACTGAGATTTAAAGCCTGTATCTAACATTCCTCAAAGAAATTGATAGGTTAGAGAACATCTGTATTTCATTGACAGTGATGTTTTACCTAGTTAATTAAGTACTGAATAGATGTAATTGAATGCACTCGTGTACTACATACACAATAACTTCTGTACAATTGCATTGAAGATGCAGACTTTGTGTGGAGTTGGAATCTCAGCCACTGCTTTTCATGTTTTGACTCACTAATCACTATCACTGCATATGTAACAGCAGTGTTTCCAGAAAATTTCTATAGGAAATCTGTATTTTGTCTGTATCAAGAAGACAAGCAAACCAAAACTCAAGCACAGAACCCAAAACTATATATATGAACAAATCTTACATACTTCAGTAACAATTAACCTCATTCTGTCTTACTTGGAATCATGGACTGAGATTTACTTGAAACCTTGAATTTTGAGGGATATAGGGACATTTTAAATAGTAGAATAAAAGGAAGTAATAAAAACATTATTTTAGCTAAATATGATGTCTCTGTGACATCCTCAGACTTCATACACAAAATCATACTTAAACAAGTTAATAAAGTATACTGTTCTTTTTCATTATGTCTTGAAAACATACTTCCAAATAAGAAAATTCAGGGAAAAAATTATTAGAATGGGCAGTTAGACCATTTTATTTGTTTAGTAGCTGTATTTCATTTCTAAACTAAATTAGAAATCGAGTTTCCTATTCATGTTTCACTCTTTAACAAGTAACTTTTTACATTACAGAGGACTACTTGCTACAGGAGTAAGCACAGTATAGTGAAACATCGGGTACAAAGATAGCTTGGTGTCATTCTTTTTTTCAATCGGAAAACAGAAGTATTGCCCAAAGAGAGGAGTGGGGAAAACTATGTTTATTTCCTCTTCCTCCCATAAGCATAGGCTATGGCGTGTATGGATGTGTGTGTTCATGTGCCTATCTGTGTGTGTATGTGTGTATGTATACACCCCAAAAGTATTTTGAGAAAGTTTATTGAATACAAATTAAAATGTATTCTTTACTAAATATTCTAACAAATAAGTGAAGTTCTTATCATGGTAAGTAACTGTTTCCAGTTAATTTCTAGTTTTTTCTAAAGAGCATGAATTGTGGTATAATATGAACCAAGACTACTTTTGGACTAATTTTATGTCTGGGATTGACTCAACTCTGTTTCACCTTTGTTTACAGTCTGTTGTTTTAAATATCTTTTTGCTCACATGGGAAGCAAGATGAAATTTTAAGGAGGTCTTTATGGTTTGTCTTGGTCCGTTCGAGTTCTGTAAGACTCAGTCATAATTTTATTTGCATTGGTTTCATCTAAAGTTCAGGTTGTGGCTAATGCTTAAGAAATCCTAATGAGGAGGAATAAAATGTTGTAATTGAAGATAGTGACTGAAGTCATTATTTCTTCAAGGTCACAGAACAGGATGAAATAAATTGCATTTCTTATGTAGAAACCATAATTTGGTAAATTTTTTAATATACTTTTTTGGTTTATATTATTCTTTTTTAATAGCACATTAATTTTGTTTTTGCAGAAATCACTTTTAACTGAAGTAACTGCTTTGTCACACAATATGATACATTTTTTCCAGTATTTTCAATTTGTTCTTCTTGACATTTTATGTTTATGTGCAGTTTGCATCTTTTTTGTTTTTCAATTTCAAATGTAACAGATTTTGACATTTTTGTTACATTTTTTTTGTACTAGTGTTTTTTTATTTTTGAGAACCTGCTGTTTTTGAATTGTCTTTTTTCCCTTTATTCTCCTCCTCACTATGATCCCAGGAGCCAACACAAAGAAAAGCGCAGATGATATAACCAGTAATGATCGTGGTGAAGATGAAGGTATTTTTTGTTTTTTCAAAGCTCGACCCTGATGCATGAACATAAACTTTTTAATTTTTATTATAATAATAATTGTTATTGTTATTGCTGTTATTTCAACATGATTTTTAGTCCCTTATTTGCAGAAGCACACTTCAGTGTGCTTCTTTATTTTCTTCTTTAGAAATTACTTTCATTGTTTATCTTTTTAAAATCCAAATTAACATATAAATAACTGCAGTTCCTCTGTGGCATAGGTGTAAAGGTTATTCCTAAATAAGTGTGAAGTGTGTAACATAAATATTATTTGAAACCACATACTTTCCCCCCCCTATTCTTTCTTAGGTTGAGAAAATGGAATTTAAAAACATGCATGTGCTCTTTTCCCTCCTACACATTTTGTAAATTCACCTGTTTGAAATTCATTAAAAGACTCACATATATCCTTCCTTTCACTCCCACTGTTTCCCCAGTGCACATGCTGTACATTGATGCAGTTGAATTCTGCTTTGTCTGTGCTATTTTTATGTATTTATTTATTTATTTCTCACAGGATGTGGTTTATTTCAGGACACAAAAATAAAGGAAGCTGTTGATGTTGCTTTATTGTTTTTTCCTGTAATCAGCTAGCCTCTGAGATACATTCGTTCTGACTCTGACCACATTCCCACTGAAATCAATGACAATCATTTTCATTGACTTCTTTCAGAGTTGGATTGGATTCCCTGAAAGGAAATGTTAAAGTTCACAGTGAAGTGCCCTAACAAAGTTTTACAAGGAAATACTTTTTTCTTGCCTTGGCACAGCAAAGCTATTTAGGATGCACTGAAATAGAAAGAAGTCATGAAATCTTCCTCCATTCTCACTATTCCTTTTCATTAAAGTTACACTGACAGTTTATTTTACTTCATATATTTACCAAATTAAGAAAATTATTTTCAAATTAATTGAGAAGATGACAACCTTAGGTAGTTTATTGGTCTATTTTTGGAGCAATGTGTTTCTTAATCCTCTCATGCTTGACCAATCCCAAGTGTTACTCCATGTCTTTTTTCCTGTTTTCTTCTATCTGACATCAGTTCAAATAACTCTGAAACATTTGTCCTCTCTGCTCCCCTTAGAATCATGCATACTGCATGGGGATACTAACTCCTCTTTTCCTGGGTGTTCAGCTCAATTGTAGCTCCTCTATCCATATATGAAATACCATGATAAAAATCTCTGGTCTTTGACTCACAGTGGTTGCCCTCTACTGTACCCCCTTCATTGCTGATTTATGCTGTTTCTTATAATACAAAGATGCTGTACAGAGCATTCCAAAATTGCCCTGTTATTTTCTGGATATCACCTTCCTATTTATGTGCAATACATGCTTTTTTTAAAATGATGGTGTCATCATTTTCTATACCAAATTCTGAAGTTAATTTTAAAGCAAAAGATAAGCAACAAGCAAACCCAAAATTGCTTAAAAAACTTACAATAGATATTGGGTTATGAATACATTATTGTTTAGACTTCTTAAAAAATTGTAAAATGTTAGGGTTTCATGATTAACAAAGGCATCCACTTTAGATCTAAGCACATAAAGCATGGAGCTCATTTCCTTTATGTTGAAGCTAATCATGTTCCCATTGAAGGGGAAGAGGAAACCTCCCATTGACTTCAGCAGTGAAAGATTCAACCCTGAGGTAGAACTATGTAATAAGAAAAGATTAAATACAACAAATTATGCCATGAGACTTTGGAGAGAGAAGGGAAAGGTAATTCCGTAACACAAATAGTTGTGTTAAATAATTGTTGCTTTCATTTTTTGAGGGCTTAGCTGTGCCTTCACAGAAGAAACATTTCCATGTACTTTGCTGAAAATGCCGAGAATAAAAAAAATACATCCACTGGAATGTACTTCATTGCTTTATATGATCTGTTTAATGGCTGCATTACTCTTATAATCACAACAGTTAAAAAGATCTTATCACAAAAGCTTTTGTTCTGCTGCTCAAGTACAACACTTAAAATACAACATGTAAATTTTTTATCATTTTATGTAAAGAAGGTGGATTCTTCAACAAGCCTTAAACTCTGACAACTAGATAGGTGTACACTGGAGCCTGAACTTATGTTCCTTGCACTCAGCTGACAATTTGTAATATTTAGGGTAGTCCATACACAGGAGTAAAGTAAAAGTGGGCCATAGGAATATGATCAGTCAAAACTGACCTTTAAATATGCTCAAATTAGTTCCACATATACAAAATGCTATATATGTGGTACCTCATTGCTGATCACATTTTTGGTATCTTAGAGTATTTTGTGACACACCTGAGGAGAAGGAAGAGTTTCCGAAGGCTTTCAAACCCAGGTCCACTACCTCTAGATATTTAGCTCAGCTTTTTCTTCCTTCACTTCCCTTTTCCACTGTTCAATATATGGCTAACCTACCCAAAAGAGACCACTGCCTTTTTAAATCCTGACTGAACAGTTCAAGACTGTTTTCCCTTGTATATTGTACTGTATGATTGAAAGAAGTGCTCCTATTCCACATGCAGATACACTGAATTATTTGTAAAAGGTGTGTATATCTAATGGCAGCTTGCTGAATTGCCTTCTGCTTTTTAAAGGAGCTTAGCCCCTGTTCCCACTATTTCTGTAGAGAAAATAAGTTCCTAATTTTGGTAGTCTAAACCATCTCTGGCATCAGAAGCCTAACTTTTTGGTTTTTATAGGAAGAGAGGTGAATTTGATCCTAAATATACCTCAAATCACTGATTAGTGGATCTTTATAACTCACATAGTATGAAAATATTACTATCAATTTTATATAACTTTCTTTCAGAAATAAAGACCCAGCTGTTTACTTGTTTGAAAGTAGTGAAGAGCTTTTCTGCATATACAAAAGATCAGTGATACCACTAAGGAGCATTAATTAAAGGCTGTTCTTTAAGGCTTAGCTACCGTGACAAGGAAAAGTACAACACAAAAGACATAATTTGATTTAAATACAAAAAATCTGGGCCATAAATCCACATGAATCCTCTTTGTTTGTTAACTCCTAGGCTATTTGAAAGAAGGAACAGTTTACTATGTTTACTTCTATCAGAACAATTTGATTTTGTGATATTATCTCTTACTGAACTATTTCAACAGTTACGTCTCAGTGAGGAATGGGAAAGTATGGATCATTATTGTAATGTTGTCATTAGATGTACAGATATTTCTAAATTGGCATATACTTGAATCAGAATATTCTAAAAAAAAAGACAAGATTATTCCATAATTTTTTTTCTTTAGGCTTTTAGATGTTTATATTCAAATTGAATTCCTTGTAATATTGAAGGCTTTTCAAGTATTCTGAGAACATTGCGGAGGCAGTAGTATTTGAAGTAACCAAGAGAAATATTCAAACTACAAATATTAGTCTTGTAGGATGATCCTGAACTCTGCAAGCTAGCTGATTAAAGTGGTGGTGGTGACTTTGAAAACATAGGAAATTATTAAGAGTATTTTTAGCACTGTTTTAAATCATTAATGTCATATTTCCTTATTTTTTTTATTTTATTATGTTTTCCTTACTTGAATTTTTTCAGACATCCATGATCAGAACAGCAAGAAACCTGTTATGGTCTACATCCATGGTGGATCTTATATGGAGGGTACTGGCAACATGATTGATGGCAGCATTCTCGCAAGTTATGGAAATGTCATTGTTGTCACTCTTAATTACAGGCTGGGAGTTTTAGGTAAGTTACTCTTTTCTTCATCACCAATTGCATAGAAATATTTGATTGCTTAATTTACCTACTGATTGATCATAGATCCTTGGGCCATTTTTGTTTTTAAAACAGAACATTCTTGCTGGTGGACTTTGATTTCTGTTCAATATTTTATGGAAATTGGGCTAGGCTATATTCTTTTTACAGTTGCCTTCACTTTAGACAAAAGTGACTGGATATTTATAATGATGTTACTGCTGGTTTATGTTAAATTTGTCATCAGATCTTATTTGCTCTTGGCTCAGTGATTTAACAAGTTTTAAGAACTTGTATGTTTTTCTTATTAAAATCTTCTTGATTCCACCTAAAAAAAAAAAAAAAGAAGAAAATTAATCAAGAATGAGTACTCGCCAGTTTCAAAACGATTGGTAATGGTAGGCAGGGGGAATGTGTTGCTATTTATCTGCACTTATTATTTTCATTTGCAAATTGTCTTTTAGGGCAGAAAATGTAGAGGTAATACAGACAAAACAGGCTATATAGACTGATAGATCTATGTTGCAGGTAATATGGAGTCAAGGGATTTCAAGGAGTAATGTAAAATTATCTTCCTAAATATAAGGAACTCCATAATCATGAATTATAATATTGAGAGAAATTAATAATTGTCTTTCAAACAGAACAAAAGCTGCATCTTCTTGACATTATAAATATTCTTCTGTCAGAATTAGATTGAATAGCAAAATAACCTTAAATCCATGACAATAAACCAAAAATCTTTTCTGGCTTCTCTGTGATTCCAGCTTCTGGATGTTTGCACGTACTAAGCTTTTCTCCAAATGAAGGTTTATTTATTGAAGTTTTACTTTTCCTTAGAAAATTAAGCTAAAAATTAGCTGGTAATAACAGACTTTAGAAATATTTTTTATCTTAATGAAAAAGCATGTAGTTTGTATAGAATAGCATATAGACTGCTCAAATGCTTGTATCTCCAGAATTTTAGATACACAAGGTAAGGTATAGTAATTTTGTTTGTGTGCTTTTTGATTTAGAATGGCTTTTACAAGATTTTTTAATGTTGTTTTTCTTGATAGCAAAGCTGATCTATATTCTTGGCATGTATTATTTTGGAACACGGGAAAATTCTTTTGCTAAGTTATCTGTTAATGTGGTTAATGTGTTTCAACAATGTTCTAGTTCATCAGAGTACTGAGGATTTTTTTCTTGTCTTTGATTTTGACTCTTGTTTAAATACAAAAGAGCATTTTTTTCTATGATAGGGTCAGATTTAAACATAAAGGCAGGAATATAAAAAGATATTTTGGTATATTTATGCCAACATCCCCAAAAAAAGAAAAAAAAAAAAAAAAAAAAATGAGTGAAGAACTCCTAAAAAAGAAGACTCCTAAAAAAAATTGTTGTTGTTGTCAAACAAACTGTATACCCAGGAACTTGGTAATAGTTATTTATCTGTAACGAAGGCTATTTAATGGATCTCTTAAAAGGTTTTGTCTTGTTTTTTTTTTAAAACTAAAATTGTTGAAGGATACAGATGATTAAAAGTAGTTTAAAATGTTTCATTGTCCAGCTGCCTCATATGAATCTGAACAAAAAAATGCAATATTTATATTGATGAACTCCCGTTTTGTATATTTATATTGGGGAAAAGAAAAAAGAGGGGGAGAAAGAGACAGAATGCTATGTTTCTATATTGTGGCATTTAGGAAAAAAGGCACAATACAGAGGCGTTCATGTATAAAACTGAAAAGTAAAACTGTAAGGATTGTAAATGGATTAGGAAAAATACAGTATTATATTTGGCATTAAATACTGCTTCTTGACAGTGGCAAATGTAACTTTTGAGATGCTATGGAATTTAGTCTTTGTTATAGAAAGTCTATGTTTGACTTAGAAAAACAGAAGATATTCAGAATATGCATATAGCACTTAAAAAATCAGAGGAATTGTGTTTTACGAGCATATTTCTGTTTTTCCTTTCTGGTGAAATGTAAATGTGATCCTTGAGAACTCGTTAAGTTCTGCCTAGACATTGGAAGATGTTAGGTGAATTCCATGTATTTTTGATTTGCTTCATAAGTAAAAAAAAATAAAAGAGAAAAACATTAATTTCTTTAGGTAAACAACCATATGGAAAACAAGCATGATTACTGATAAAAGTTAAAAAGTAGTATAATTACTATGACATACAATTTGAAGATTGACAATATTTGTATTCATTTCTTCTAGTATGGATTACCTTTTTTTTGAAAGATATGTTTATTTCTGTAAGTTGGTATGTTTCAGTTGCATTTGAGTTGTAAGTTTATACATAAGAGGACACGTACAAACCTGATTTTAATGACAGAGATATGTAATTCTATCATTATTATCACATCCTGTAACAGAGGAATATGCATTGAACTGATCACAATGATGAGTTACTGAAGACCCTTTGCATATATATATCTCTTTTCTTCCTCTGGAAAATTATCACTTGAATTGACCTGAATACTGGATGTTGTACTTACTATAAGTGTTAGTTCTGTTCTTGAGGCAAATTAAATTATTTGCCTTTCACTCTGTGTTATGTCATAACAGCAATAGATAGAAAATCTATTAGGACTGCATAGATAATCACTGGATCATGTTAGCCAGACAAATCACAGAATCATAGTCATTCTGGGGATTGCATCGGCCCATGTGTGGGACCTTGCACTTGGCCTTGTTGAACTCTTCAAGGCTGTCAAGGTCCCTCTGCGTGGCATCCTTTTCTTCTAGCACATCAAGTGCACTACTCATCTTTGTGTTGTCCACAAACTTCCTGAGAGTGCACCCAATCACACTATGTAAGTCATTAAAGAAGATATAAAATAGGATTGGTCCCAGTATGGACCTTTGAGGGACACACTAGTTACTGGTTTCCACTTAGACATTGAGCCATTGACTGTAACTCTGGAGGATGTGGCCATCCAGCCAGTTCCTTATCCATCTAACAGTCCATCCATCAAACTCATATCTCTCCAATTTGGTTTCAAGAATGTTACAGGGGACCATATCAAGTGCCTTAAAAATGCCCAGGTAGATAACATCAATTGCTCTTTCCTTGTCTACTGATGCAGTCAGTTCATCATAGAAGACCACCACATTAGCCAGGCATGATTTGCCCTTGGTGAAGCCATGTTGCTGTCTCTAATCACCTCTCTGTCTTCCATATGCTTCAATATAACTTCCATGAGGATCTGTTCCATGATCTTACTGGGCATGGAGGTGAAGCTGACTGGTCAGTACTTCCCAGGCCCAGTTTCTTACATGTGGGAATCAAGAGCTCTTGTGCTCTAAGAAAAATGAACCTTAAAGAGCTACCAGCTTTTTTCTGCTCCTTTATCCCTGAGCTCAGTTTCCCAGGGGGTCCCATCTACTAATTCCTTAAACGACTGAAAGTTTACTTTCCTAAAATTCAGGGTCCTGACCCTGCTCTTCAGCTGGCCCCTATCCTTCAAGATTGTGAATTCCACCAGGGCATGATCACTGCAGCCCAAGCTGCCACCACTCTTGACTACTTTTACTAGTTTATCTGTGTTGGTAAGCAACAAGTATAGTAACACTTCTCCTCCAGTTGGGCTGTCTATCACTTGGATTAAGAAACTATCCTTGGTGCACTCCAAGAGTTTTCTGGACTGCTTATGGCTTGTTGTGCTGCTTTTCCAGAAAATGTCATGGTGATTTAAACTCTCCAGCAGGATCAGAGCCTGCAACTGTGATGCCTCCTGTAGTTAAAGTAAGAACGCTTCATTGACATCTTCTCCTTGATTGAGTGACCTGTAGTAAACACCAACTATGAGGTTTCCTTTGTTGGCTTGGCATCTAATTTTCACCTCTAAGCTCTCAACCTGTTCATTGCTGTTTTTCAAAGACAGCTGTGTGCAATCAATCCATGTTTTTTATATAAAAGGTAACCTCTCACCACCACCTCTCCTTCCTTGCTTGTCACTTCTGAATAGTTTACAGTCATTGATTACAGTGCTCCCGCCATGAGATTTGTCCCACCACATTTCAGTGACAGTGATTAGACCGTAGCTTTCTAGCTGCACAGTGGCTCCCAGCTCCTTTTGTTTGTTAACCATGCTGCATGCATTGGTATAGAAACACTTCAGCTGGGCTATCGACCACATCGCCTTTTTAGAGGAAAATGCCCTAATTCCTTTGGGGAATTTCATAGGTGTTTCCTTGTTGCTTCCTAACATATCAGCAGCCTCCAGCTCTTCTCTGTCACCCCAAACTCCATCCCTTTCCCCTGAAAAATCTAGTTTAAAACTGTCCCTATAAGTCTGGCCAGCTTGATGGCAAAGAGGCTCTTGCCTCACTTGGTCAGATGAATCCCTGCAGAGCAGGCAGCAACCCGATCACTGGCAGAGCGGGCAACACTACCCGCACACCCTGCCTTCGCGAACTGCTGCACAAACTGCCTGTGCTGCTCCCAACAGACGCCCTCCCTGTTTGCACAGCCTGACTACAGTGCTCCTGGCAGCTGGTGTTCCCCAAGGGCTGGTCATATGTGGCTTCCCGTGGTTTGAACTAGCCCCAAGGAGCGCTGGCACTGTACCACTCTTGCCCGTCCCTCTCACGCGATCTGTCTCCTGTTGGCTGGTACCTTCCCTACCAGCAGCCCAAGGGTGTTGGGGGCCCAGAAACCCCCTCAGACATCCCCTGGGAACCTGACAACCCTTGCAATGCTCTCAGCAGGAGGCGACTGCTGCTGCTGTCGCCTGTGCTAGCATCAGCTTCCCGAGGTTTAAACTGCGGGAACAAATCCCAGTTTGAGATCCTGTGAACCAATCAGTAACGGTGATTACATATGTTTTAGAAAGCCTGGATTTTGGAAAAGCATCTTCATAGATGAGTGAAAATGAAAATTGTTAGGGATCACTGACTTTACCTGACCATCCTTCACTGAGTTTATCCTCATGAAATACCTGTATAGCCATGGAGTATTTGTCAAAGAAATAGAATATAAGCTATATGGGTTT